TTATTATTATTATTATTATTATTATTATTATTATTATTATTATTATTATTATTATTATTATTATATACAAGTGGCTTGTCTTGTCAGTGTTGGTGGTACTTCCTTCTGGCCCTGATGATGTTACCTAGTTGGGTAATAAAACGTCTGAAAAAAAAACAAAAACCAAGCTCAGAGAGCACCAAGGATCCCAAGACATCTACAGCCAAAATTCTGACTTTCTGGTTTAAGTCAGTGTGAGATGTTGCTTTTCCCGTTCGTCTTTCCCTCCTGTTCAGCCCATCTGTCTCAAATTCTTGATTCATTTGTTGCATCAAGATCTCAACTTTTTTTTTTACAAAGACACTCAGGGTGGAATCCAGCCTCTCCTTCCCTTCTCCCCTCCCCACAATCCCTAAGGTAGGTTAAATTGACCAAGGTCATCCAATGATATAGAATTACCTTTACTTTTGTAGAAAAGTCATCGAGTATACCAAGGGTTCTGTAGTATGGATTAATAGCAGACTGCAGTGTGTCATTCCTCTGAGGATACTGCTATGTTGTATGGCCATTGCTTGAAAATGAATCTAAGCGGAGAACTGCCAGCCCGCTCGTAACTCTTCAAGTTGGAAGCTTCCTTATTTGGCAGGAGGGTTCTGCCAATTTTCAGGATAAAAAGCATGTTTGGATGAGTGTACTTTCCCCGAGGATGGTGGCCCCTTTCCGTATCCCTAAAAAATAAATAAAAATGTTCAGTTTTTGGATGACCGGTGGCAAATAACAAAATATGATAGATGGCCTCTAGAAAGGCAGTAGGACTAAATTAGATACAGAGCGAATCGTTCCACTCAGTTTGTGTGCTTGAGGGTGAAAATCTGGACATCGGGATACCAAAGAGAGTAGAATGAACTTTGCATGGAGTAGAATGAACTCTACATAGGGTCACTCTTAAGATACACAACCTCCTGCTTTATACTGGTCTCTTTAATAAAGAGTTCTGTTCCATGAAGCAATATTCATTATCTATCTATCT